CTTTCAAAAATGACATCTACATCTTCAATTTCTTTACAAGTTAAAATGAAACCCATACAATTAATTACTACTACGACCTTCAAACTCTGGAAAATGATCATCAATGAATTTCGCGACACGTTTCATAAAATGTGCACAGCAAGTTTGCACGATAACAAATCGACGCGGAAGAGGAATGTTTTTGGTTGCGCATTTGTAGCAAACCTTTAAATATTCATATATATCTGTATCACTCCATTCTAACATTATACCATGAATGTACGCCCAAGTCCAATCAACGACAACAATTGGAAATGTATGCCAAGTATACCCTTCCCGTTCTACAAAAGCTCTATAATATTTTAAAAAAGTACTTATTGTAACTGTGTCATGTTTTGCCCAGATCATTTCTGCCAAAGGTATTGTTGCGTTTAAAAATCTTGCTACGAATGCATAATACATAACACTCTTGTAATCATAACCTAACGGATTCCTGATTATGCTACCCGTTGCATCTAAATGTAATACAATAATTATTCCTGGCTTTACGAGATACAACTGTTTTCGCGTATACATATGAATATTTAAAGGATCGGAAGCAAACCTAACGTACGGATCACTTTCTTCGGAATCATTTTTTCGTTGCTGCATTAAATCAGAAATATCTTTAGATACCAAAATCAAGTCATATTTACATTTTTCATCTGAACTTGCTTTCTGATATGTAGTAAGCATTTTCAGATGCTGCATGTTTCCATCAAGAACAAATTCTTCGTTAGTGTTACTGGATATTTTAAATTGCAAATTACGCGGAGTCTCAAACTGAAGCTTGGATCTGACTTCAAGCCGTTCCTGTCCCGATAATGGATAAAATAATTTTGGACCTTTATGAATTACTTCCTTACTTTTTGTACTATATAAAAACACTAACTCTTGTTTTAAAGGAATATCAATTTTAAATCTTTGTCCATGTGAATTGTATCTACATTTAGCATATAATACGTAACATTCTTTATTTTTACGAAAACCATAAAAACGAAGAACACAAGTGATATTGCAAATGTAATGCATCCTTTAAGCAATAGCGAAGTAAATTCTTATCTACTTCTCCATTTTCATCATAAATTTTCGAATTTAATTGAAATTGACCCCTGTCTTCTGAAAATGTAGCTTTTAATTTATGTGATACTGAAGGTCGTTTTACTTCTGTTTTATTTAAATAATCATGTTCCTTCATTTCAACATCTGTATCGTCATCGTCATCGCTATCTTCCAAGTCGTCATCACTGACATACTCTTCGGAATCACTTCGACTATCTATATCATCTGTTGAATATTCAAAAACATCGTTTCGAACATTTAAATCAATTTCAGACTTTTCTACATTGCCTCCAATAAAAGAATTTAAATTTGATTCTACTATACTATTGTTTAAAAAATTATTGTTTTTTGAAGAAAAAATGGAATACTGCTTTAAAGTTTCTGGATTCGAAGAAATTGGAGAAGTAGATTCTGGATTATGACTTGTCTTAATTGTAAAATTTTCATTAGTAATATCATTCATAATATGTACCTCATTAAATGTAGAGGTGTCTATCTCTGCGTTAAGATTAATGGTTTCTGGATGCTCCTCTGCTGCGTTGACCTCCTTGTCCATCGGTTTACGTTCCTCGTCCATCGGGTTCATATCCTCCTTTGATGATTTTTCATCTTGGTCCATTGGGTAGTCCTCCACATCCATTGGTATGACAGTATTTGGCTTCTTCGGTTGTAGTAATTTCATCACCAATTCATGAATATTGCCATAATTCTTCTCCCAGGTCCTTAGGAACTTCATTCTTGTTGAATTCTTGATTGGGCGTTTCAAATCACGACATACCTAAAATAGTGCTTAAGTATAATGTTCAACATAACACAATTAGAAGCATTGATAAAATCAATGTCATAACCAAATAGATTAAATAATATTAAAAAATTTTCAATATTATTACAAATTTACAACTTATAATTTTCCAAAAAGTAAAATTCGGTTAAAACTTACGAGTTATAAGCGATTTTTTGAACATTTCTTTGCAGGTAAAGTATAGCATCACAATGCGCTTTCAGTGCTTGCGTGTAAGGACAAAAATGTAGTACCTTCTAGTTCTAGATGTTCAAAATCTCCAAAAAAAATTTTAAATGCTTGTGAAATGATTGGGAATAGAAACAATGTTGTTAAAATATAAAATAATGACACTTTTCAAAATAATATTTATTGCCATTAACATGAAACAGTGATTTTTTGAATTTGTTTTGGACAAATAAAGTAGTACTTTTAAAGGCAATTCTGGACAACCGTAAAGTAAGACTACAAGGAGTGTCATCTTCGAGAGTAGAGGTAAGACCTAAAAATTTTCAAAAGTTCGAAGCTGCACTCTAAATACCTACATGAATTTGGGATTCGACTGTGTCATGCGCATGACTCATTTTCTACGTAGTCAGCTGTTATTTACTTTATTTCTTTTATAACCTACAAATATTATTAGTATGTGTGCACATTTTGATAAAATTAAAATCATTCCTATGCAATATTATTATGTATATGGTTCGCTAAATTTTTCGTTAAATTCGATTGTTCCTTGATTTAAAAAAACAGTGAATTTATATTTAATTTGCAAGCTCGAGCAATTATAAATAGAAAAATTTTTGTCGTTTATTTTAGTATCGTAAGTTAAAGAATTATTTAGAAAAAAATAAAATATTTTTTTAATATTAAAATTTTTACACAATAAGCGTAAAATAAATATAATTATAACGTCTCCAATAAATAATATATAAATATAAATCAGAGTGGTCACAACTTTTGGTTTATCAATTTCCCTGACAATTTATTGACATAAAAATTACTTTCCCTGACAAATTTTTTTTTATATGAAAATATAAAAAAGTCTCAATTTTCTTAATTACCCTGCAAAAAAAATTTTTCCCGACATTTCCCTGACTTTACAGACAAAAAAATTTTTTTTCCTATCATTTCCCTGACTTTACTATGACAAAATTTTTTTTCCCTGACATTTTCCTGAATTTACTAACATGTGGCCACTCTGATAAATATGTTAAATTGAAGATAGACGTTTATTAAAAACAATAACTGTTAACTTCTAAACATTTTAACTTCTAAACTGTTAACTATCGAAAACTTTTAGGTCCGCCTGAGCTATACCCCCACTCCCGAAGATGATATTCCTTAGTCTTTCTTCATATGGACAACTGTCTTGAAAAGACTTTTGGTATATTTTAAGGTCTAAGCACAACTAAGTCGGGTACCCCTCGGAGAACACATGGGGTCATTTTGATCCTACGATTTTTTGCAAAAAGATTTTTATCTATTGTTTAATACTTTTTATACACTGAAAAACTTTTTGTTTCAAAAATTAATAGAATTTATTTCAAACTTTAATATTATGCATTTGAAACAAGGGAAAACGATGTTTTTATGTTATTTAATCGTACGAACGTATCAGCTTTTAACAAAGTAATACAAAAAATTAGTATGGTCCGTGCCAATCTTTAGTATAAACCATATTAATAGTTGATACATTAATACGATTAAATAACATAAAAACATCGTTTTCCCCTGTTTGACATGATCATATTAAATTTTGAAACACAAAGTCTTTCCGTGTAAGGATTTTAAAGTAAACATACTTATTTTACAGAGTTTAAACTATATTTTTAAAAAATCTGTAGGGTTAATCAGAGAAACAGTTCAAAATTGGTTAAGCATTGAAAAATGATCTAAAAAAGAGGTGTTTTCTCCGAAGGATACGGGATATGTAATATTTACATAAATTTTGAGGTTAGGAGGTCCATATACCGCATTCAGAAATTTATGTTAAATGATTTTTGTGTGCAATGAAATTTATGAAAAAATGTTCATATTATGTAAATTTTAAGTTATGTAGTTTTATATCAAATAACTATTTGGTCAAAAAAGATTTTGGGAACAAGCATGAGCCTCCGCAATGAATGACTAACAATTGATCGCCTGGGGAAGTGCCTAACTCCCGCCAGGCGGAGTGGAGTCTAGACTAGATCTGTCTATCTGTCTGGCGAAGGTATACACATATATAAACGCATTTTACATAATAGTTATTTGACATAAAATGCATAATTAAACGATTAATATTAAAAAATATTAATATATAATCAAAATAATGTAATAATTATTAATGTGAAAAAATAATGAAGAGTTGTAAATTTTGTAAATAACAATAATAAATTATGAATATTGAAAATGAAAAATTATAAAACAATAATATTTATATTTTAAACCCACAATCTAGATTTGACACCGAACTTAACATTAAAAGTAAAAATCAACAAAATATAATAATACAATTATGTAAAGGACACTTACTTTCTTATACAACGAATCGGAATTCGTACTGCCAAACTCGACTTCCTCCCACGAAGACACATATTTGGTAATCGAAGCACTAAGCTTCTCAACACTAACGTGAACCTCCTTCATTTCAATTTCATCGACACAGAACAGAATGCTTTTAACAAATTTTCACTTTCAAACTTCTCAAAAAAAATCTTCAAAGAACGCAAGCAGCAAATTTATTAAACACAAGCTATCGCTCCGAAATTTCTTCTTCTTCTTCTTCTTCTTGTTAAGTGGCCTTTTGATAATATCATGTGGCCATAAATAAAACTCATAGATTCGCTTATAATTTCAGTTTAAGTTTTGTACACATAGTATCACGTATATGGACAGAATTTTGTCCAGTTGAATCATACTTTCTTGCATAAAGGTCCGTTCATAGGTCATCATATTATAGCAATTTTAAGTCCATTTGTTAAGTAATTTTTATTTGAATTTGTTTGCATTTATGGAAAGGATTAAATTAGGATTAGTTAAGGAAGATTATTTATTTATTATTATTATTTTTTTTTTTGATTTATATATATTTAGAGAAATTTAATGCTTTCAATTTAGACTTAATTTATTTATTTATTTATTATTTTTTTTTAATTCAAATAATAACCTTAGAATCCTGTTGATTAAAAAATTTATGGATGGCGGCTGCCAGTTCTTTTGTAGGTTGAAAGATAAAATTATCCAGATTTGCAAGTGGAGTAGTGAGAATTCCCGAGAGGGAATTCAAGTAACTAAAAAATTCAGGTCGTCCCGGAGATAACAAAGGGCAGTCATTTAATAAATGAGTCAATGTTTTTTGGGCCTCCCCGCAGTTACATTCCATGGGCAAATTCCATTTCATCTTTTCAAAATGTTCCGCTGTACATATATGATTAATCCTTAATCGCGTTATTAGTGTAGTGCAACCTCTAGGCAGCTCTAATCCACAAAACCAAGGTCTTTTGGTTTTGTATTGTATTTTTTGTAGTACTCTATTTGCTGTAATTGTAGTGTTTTTATAAGGCCATAATTGTGCTTTTTGTATGTTATTGTATTGCTTGAATTTAGAAAATAAATCATTAAGAGAGGCAATCTTTTTCTGAATGAATGGAAGAGCAGATGCATCTTTAGCAATCCTATCTGCTATATTATTACCCTTACTACTACTATGTGCTGGAATCCAAATAAAGTCAATTCTTGTGTCATTTTGTGTTTGTGTGATTAAATCAGCAATTCTATGGGGAATAACTGAGTCAGAGTGTGCAAGATAGTGTCTTTTGTTTATTAAATTTATTGAGTCGAGAGAGTCTGTAATTATTACAGCTTGTGTAATGTTTTCTGTGATTATGTATTTTACAGAAATGTATATGGCATATAATTCTGTTGTGAGCGGGGAAGAGGATTCAACGACCGGAACACCATATCGAATATTCAATTGGGAAATATAAAATCCAGCCCCAGCTTTTTTCCTTTGGGGGTTGGAAGAACCGTCAGTATATACATGCACTGCATGTGGAAAATTGTTAGTTAGGAAGGTGTTAAGATTAATGTCTGGTTGCTGTGATCCTTTAAGATCATAGCCCAAAGTAATATTAGAATTTATTTTAAGATTTATAGAAGTCCATTCAGAATCAAAATACAATGGTCGTCTTGATGGAAAGCAAGTATTCAAGTCCCTTTCAATTTGTGTGTACACTTTGTAAATACCTGAATTAATTATATATTGTTTCGGTCTATTATTTCTATCAATTCTAGTTTTTAATAGGATTAATTTGGGTCTAAGAGGGTTTTCAGACCATGTAAAATTTCTTGCAATAAAACGTTTAGCCAACAGAATTCTTCTCATTTCCAAAGGTATTTCTCCAGACTCAACAAGTAAAAAGTACAAGGGAGTTGAGGACATGCATCCCAAAAATATGCGCAATGCTTTAAATTGTTGAGTATCCAAAATTTTCAAGAAATACTGAGCAGCCTCCATAAATAGCACTGAACCCCATTTAAGATATGCTCGAATCAGGCCCTTAAAAACCAACAACAAGGATTCAGAAGATGCGCCCCGGGAAACGCGAGCAAGTGCTTTTAAGGTGTTGATAGCTTTAGCCGTTTTTTCTACAATTATTTCTATATGTTTTCTCTAATTCAGTTTAGAATCAAAAGTTATACCGAGATACTTAATTTCCCTCTGACAAGGAATTAGAACACCATTTACTTCCAAAAAGATATCACTGTAATCGATCTGTGCTTTAGTAAACAAACAGAAGTTACATTTAGGTATCGATATAATGAGTCCAATTGATTCAAGCCAATCAGAGAGGAGTTCTATAGAGTGTTGTAATTCTGCTAATCCTTCCTGAACAGTATGACAAGAAGCATATAAAAAAATATCATCAACGTATATTGTTGTTTTGGTGTTTGGTCCAATATGATTGAGAATAGAGGTAGTGTATACATTATAAAGGAGATGCGACAAAACACCACCCTGAGGGAGACCTACATACGTTGTTTGTGGATTGCGATCCTGTGTAGAGAAGTATAAGTTACGAGAGGATGTGATAAAATTTATAAAATTCAAAATATTAGCAGGAGTTCCTTTATTTCATAATTCGGGAAGGAGAATGTCTGGTCGAACAGAATTGTAGGCACCCTTAATGTCTATTGACAAAGCCAGGACCATTTGATTCTGTTCAAAACTAAGCAAAATATCAGTATAGAGAATAGCAGAGCAATCTGTAGAAGATCGGGCTTTCCTTGAACCATATTGTGTTAGGGGAAGCCATCTATTATGTTCCGATAAGATTTCCAATTTACGGTGGATCAATCTTTCAAAAATTTTTGAAACATTGGAAGACAAAGAAATTGGTTAAATCCCTTTCCTTCTGGTTTGGGGATAAATAGAATTAAATTGTCCTTCCAATTATTTGGATAGTTATTGTTTGCAAAAAAATAATTGAATAGGTCAATTAATAGTGTTTTTGCGCTAGAGGGTAGATTCTTGATGATATTATAACTAATCGCATCTAGTCCTGGTGCAGAGTCCCTTTTACAATTCATTAGTGCAATATTAAACTCTGAATCAGAAAAAGTTGAATTCATCGGATCATCAGTGTGAGTAGGATCTTGGAATGGGAAGTGAACTTTCTTTATTTTATCATTTACGAGTTCATTCTGGAGTTTAAGAATTGCAGGGTTATTAGGATCATTATATATTCCAGTAGATCTTGAAGTGTTACGGGCTTGAAAACCTCTTATTATACCCCATATTAGTTTCAAGCCCATACTAGGATTAATGGATTCACAAAAAGATTGGTAAGATAGAGCTTTTTGTTTTCTTAGGAAAGTTTTTGTTTCAGAATCTACTCCGAGATATATCTGGAGTGCCTGCGCTGATTGATTCGATAGAAAGACCTTCCTAGCCTGAGATCTAGTTTTTACTGCTCTAGTGCAATCGTCATTCCACCATATTGATATAGTTCTTTTAGGATTTTTATTTTTATTGTTATTTTTATAAGCACCCGATTTTACTAAATTAACGATAATCTCATTCATGAATCCATTATACATTCCAATTAAAAGGGTTTCTTTATTTTCATTTATATCGTTTTTAATTCCCTTCGAAAATTCATCCATAAGTGTGTGAAAAAGAATCCAATCCACGTTAGACAGATTATATCTAGTAGAATTAGAGACATAAAAGGTAGGGGTTAGTTGTATTTGTAAAATTATTGGGTGGTGATCTGAAGAAAAGGACTCATTAATCACCCGAAACTCCGTAATTGCAGATAAAGTAGGTGTTGTTATAATTTGTGACGAAATAGTTTCATCACTTAGAATGACTTCAGAATATTCTTTTTGTTTTATTTTAAATTTTCGCGCGCCTTACATTGTGATAATGGCCTAAGGAATATGAGAATTCCCTTTTTGACAAATTATTGGTTATTATTTTTTTTTTTTTGAGTAGCAGACGAAAAATGAGAGTTATGTTTTTGGATTTTGTATGAGAAGAGTTGATATATATAGGTATTAAGTTCCTTTTTATTTTGCTAAGTTGAATGATTATACAAATAAGTATATTAAAGACTGTGGATAATATAAGTAGTTGTTTCAAGTGACTAATAAAGAAAAGTTCATTGGAAATACATATATTTATTTATTTGGATTACCACTATATTGGAAAGAAAAGTAAGTGAAATATTTTTATCAGTCGTCTTGTCTCAAAAAGGTTAAGTCTCCCTTTTTTTTAACATATATTTCTCAACGGAATCTCCTTTGAGATACTTTTAATGAGTTTTCCCTTTTTATTGTTGAGTAGATTTTGACTAATTATTTTTGTTAATTTTAAATAGAAAATTAACTGGCGTCCAACCGCCTTGTGGGTTATAAAGACCAGATTTGTGACGAATAAGGGAATTATTAATTTATTTAGATTTATATATATATATATATTTCTTAATTTATTATTAAAAGAACAATCATAAAATTTGGCGCCCAACGTGGGGCACATTTGTTGGGAAATTTTTGAGACACGACTAGAAATTATTCCATGAAATTTAACTTGTGAATTTTTGACTTGAATTTTTGTGACATGTATTTTTTTTTATTTGACTTGGGAGAGGAGAAGAATTTATATGTATTTCTATATGTGACTTGGGAGAGGAGGAGATTTACATATAAATTGTTCTTTTTATTGTATTTGACTTGGGAGAGGAGGAGATAATTGTGTAAAATAGAAAATTTTACATTTGAGAATTTTTGTTGACGGCATGGCGAGAGACGCCATAACCTCAATTTAGACATTTTTTTTTTGAAGTTGAATATTTCGTGTAATGCCTGGACGATTTCAATAATTTTAATTTTGTTAGAATCAGTGAATTTTTCTTTATTTTTCGCGAGTGATAAATAATTTTTGCCATTGTTATTTAAATAATTAGCCAACACGTGCTTGGTGTTAAATAAAATTATAATAGTCACGTGACATATACCGCATGCGCGTAGTGATAATTTTTCGCATCATTTTTCAAATTCAGTTTCGTCATAGAAATTGGCGGTCAGTGGAAAATTTCGACTAGGGAAATTATTGCGCATGACAGAAATTAATCACGTAGGCTCGAAAATATCACTTATACAGAAATTGACAAGAGAAATTTGACTTGGGAAAGGAGATGAAAATTTCTGTCGCGAGACTGTGAAAACTTTAAAAGGGACCAGGGCCGTATTAAATGGGAGACGTGCCCCCTTTTTGTTAGTAATTAACAAATTTTCAAAATTTTTATCCTTTTTGAGTTGAATAAGAATAGAATTAATTAAATAAATTATTGAATAGTTTCAGGACCGTATATAGTGTGTGTTAGGCCCTAAAAATTAATTTTTATCTTTAATGATTGAAAATTTTTCAAAATTTTTCTAAATTAAATTGAAATTAATTTATTTTGATTTGTGATAAAGCGTGTAAATTTAAAATTGCCCTAATTTAAAATCGACTAGGGTAATAAATAGTATATTAAGCAACAAGAGGAGAAAGGCAGCCATTTCTTTACGGTGATTTTTGTGACACGAGTGGAGGTCGAGGGCGCCGTAGGCGCCCCGAGACCGGAACGAGTGTCACAAAAATCATCGTAAAGAAAATGGCTGCCTTTATTCTCGTGTTACTTACGATATTTTTTATTCCTAATGCACAAAAGCGGCGATTTCAGTTAGCAGACGACAGGGAGTAAAAGTCATTCACTTGTTCGATTTGTATGAAAATGGCGGCCGATTTCTCCCTTGGGCAAGAAAAATGCATGTGAACAGCTAATTTTCTTGCCCTTGGGAGAACACGGCCGCCATTTTCATACGGTCGAAGAAATGAATGACTTTCCTCCCTGTCGGCTGCTATCAGAAAGCGCCGTTTTTGTGCATGTGGGATAAAAACATTTTTTTTTGACATTTAAAATTGTTTAAATTATATTTTTTTACAATTGAAATGGCTCACGCAATAGAGAAGATGATAGATTATAAAGAAAGAATGGCAATACTTTTAGATAGTCCCGAGATCAGAGATATCTGGACATCTATTATTGCCATGCCAGTAGGACAAATAGTGACAATGTTACTTGCAAAACAATTATCGATTGCAGGAACATTAGAAGTTTTGAGAGAAAGATTGTTCCGAATTGAATTAAGAACAATTTTTACAGATGAATTAGACATTCCTTTTTGCCAAGAATATGACTGTGGGAATTCAAGTAAAATTTTCCTTCTTGAAGCGTATACACCACCCAAGAAGGAAGAAATTCCCAATGTTTGCCAGACAAGGGGTACAGGAGTGACAAGTGATAGTGGTGAGGAAATTGACAGCCCTAAAATTATGAATTTAGGTAATTTGGGTGAAATTGACAAAAATCAAGAAACGTTAGCAGGGAGGGGGGAGAATAGTTTAACCCCTTAACTGTTTAAGGAAAATACAACATGATTGTCCCAAAATGCCCAGCGGAATCTGATACTTATTCAAATAGTATAGTATATTTAAATTATAACTAATTATTCAATTATTTTCAAAAATATCATTATTGACCCTTATAATTTCTTATAATATTGATATAAAGAAAAATATCTATCAATTTATATACAAATTATATTTATTTAGAGTGATAGTGAACACGACCCACGGGTGGGTCCGAACCAGTTATGGCCATATTTTTTCACGACCCACCCGTGGGTCGGAAACAGGCAACGGGTTAATGTACAGTAGACAAAGTCCCTTAAGTATGAGTCATACACCAGTAATGACTACAGCTAGTATCCCTACTACCTCGATTTTGACAACGACTTTCCATACACTTTCTTCAACAATTACTACAACGGTCATGACTACACCCCAGCCAATTATTTCGGCTACAATGGCACCAAATGTCATTAGTTTACAACAATCGGTTTCAAGACTCAGTATTAGTCCCGAAATTAGACAATTTATTAAATTAAATAAACAAATGACTAATACTCTTATACCTATCGATGAAAATAATTACTACATGGGATTAGGAAATAATTTTGAATGGCCACCAAATGACATGAACCCTCAATTAAAAAGAGAAAAAGTCCAACATTATTGTCAAAATCAGAATTTTGAAAATAATGACAAGATAGATGTTTCTCAACCCATTCAAAATAAAACAAGAGAAAGCAAATGCGATAGAAATATTCCTCAACCAGTACAGATAAATAAAAAAATTCTGTCCAAGGGGGGAATATCAAACAACGACAGTGATAGCGAAAATGACTCTGACAAACCCGACAAATTTTTGACTAGGGAGAAAAAGATTTCTCAAAACAAAGACAAGTACAAACGACGAACTAATAAAAAATATAAAGAAAAGAATGTACGAAGGACATTATTTACGGATTCATCAAGTGACTCTGACTCGGACATTTCTAGTGAATCATCGTTAAAATCAGACAAAAGTATAGCAATTAATAGGTCAAAAACAATTAAAACGTTAATTAATTGGGATGTTAAATTTTCGGGAGATGACAATGCTGACCCTGAAGATTTCCTCAACAGACTAGAAGATTGCAAAGATTGTATGGTAATTGACGACGATGACTTAGTACATTCAATTCCCAGTATTTTAAAAGGACAAGCAAGTCGTTGGTATAGGACTATCAGACGAGAAATCGACACATAGAAGATGTTCAAGAGAGCTTTTCGACTTGAATTTTTAACAACAGTTGACGACGACGAGGTAATTGACGAACTCAGGGCTAGAACACAAGCAAAAGGAGAAAAGATTTCTTCATATTTGACAAGTTTAAGACTAATAATGGGACATTTAAAGAGACCATTATCAGTCAAGCAACAAGTTAAAATTGCTTACAAAGGCCTTACGCCTACTTACCGCAGACAAGTTGACTCATCGAGTTTAGAGTCACTGACTAAACTAGAAAAAAATTTACGACAATTTGAAAAAGTTAAAGACTTGGACGACAGATATGTTCCCCCACCATCGAAAGACAAAATGCGTTTTCCAGCCGCTGCATTCCATGGTACCAAGAAGGACGATAAGACACATGGGACCAATAAAAATGAAAAGAAAGTAGCAGCAATAGAAGACAAGGGAGTTGTCGAGACAAGTGAAGGAGAGAAGAAAAGTAAGAAGAAAAACGAAAAGAAGAAAAAGGACAAGAAGACAAAAGGGGAGAAGAAAGTTGAGAAAACTGACGAAAAAGTCGACGCTCTCAACCAAATGACCCCTACCACCAATATGACACCAACACCAACTCCAAATCCAGCCATGTTGTAT